AACGAAACTTGTTTTATCATGTTTCTTTTCTCATTTCAAAACAAATATGGCGCTATTGTGCGCCGTTTTTGCTATATCTAATTACAGACGAGCACACAGACAAACTCAGAGTTTTAGTAGTATATATAGATAAAGTTTTTAAAGTTATATTCATACACTGTGTGAGATAACGTTAATGTAAAAATACGTTTACACTTCAAAATAGCATTAAATAACACCAGTATCGATCTTTATTTACACTAATTCACAGTGCTACTTAACACTCTAATTAATGTAATTTTGAACAAGGAAGAAGAGCCAATTTACACTAACTATGAGTTGCTGCTTTATTGAACTTTATTTGGTAATAACTTTCCATAATATGGACAAACTTTATTAAAAAATAAAATATTGAGTTCATTGGGCTTGTTAAGATACACATTACCATTAACGCATGTGAGCCTTTGAAATTGATTAACGAATACAAAGATACAAATATTACATTTTCGAAAATAGTGTTTGTTTGTTTGCACAAAGCTACAGAATGGGCTATACGTGCTCTGCCCAACACTGGTATCGAAACCTGGTTTCGAAAACTGCATATTTCGCAGATGACAGAATATAAATTACTTGATAAAAATAACGCTACGCTCGTGCTTATATATTTATACAATATATTTTACGGTATTTAAGGCAAATCTAACTGAACGTACATCCGTTCATTACATAAGCTATTCACTTCACACTTTTATTTAAACGAGTCTTTTTCTTTTGCTCTTTTTTGACTGGTTTAAATAAACTGAACAAAAATCATTTTGTGACTTATTATTTTACATTCAACGAACGTTGTCCTTCGAACACATAATACCACCTGGTGCTGGCCTGTATATTGATCAGTGACGTTTACGCTTCCCACACTTTAAGTTATAAATAGGTATAAGCAGTGTACTTGTTTCTAATGTTAGTATTAAGATATTTAGCATATACATAGGTTCGTGTCAGAGACTGTTTCATTAAAAAAAAATCCCATAAAAACAGTTCGATCAACTTGATGGTGTAAATATTAACTAATCAAAAACCAAAGTTCTTAAAATTCCGACTGGATTTTTTGCTAATTTTATCTGAAGACATTCAAACTTTATAAGATCGCATTCTATTCTACTAAACATTTATAAACTTGATACCCGCTTTAGAATATTTCATTTCATTAAGAAATAACAAAGTGCAAGTAGCAATGACAGTATTACAAAACAACAGCATACACGCACAGTACATATACACAGTAACTGAATTTCCTGCACAAATGTTCTTCCGATTATATGGATCTGTCAAAAATGGGTGTAACAAGTACTGATGATACTCTAAACCAGGTAGTTGAGGTAGATTAACCTACGACTCATCAAATCACTGATAATCACTTTACACTTAAGAACAATACCGGAAAGGTTTAGCACACGTTCTCTTATCTAGACTTACATTGTCTCCGAGAAACAAAAAGCTTTAATTTAGTTTAATAATGGCTGGGGGCGGCTT